AAGAGACGAGTAACAGGGTCAAGAGCGTTTTAGGGGGTGGGATTAGGTGAGTGCATGAGAGAGAAAGAGAGAGAGAGAGAGATGCTAAAAAAGAAAGAGACATGATTCTTCATGGAGTGAGCCAGACTAGAGATTGGAGCAAGGCAAAGTAGAATTAACCATACAGAACTTTTTATTATGACCTTTAGGGAAACAACAGAAAGTTTGTGTATGGGACAACCAAAAAATGAAGCATGAATGAAAGATTATGAAGAAGGCAATGTTATGAGATGGAAAGGAAAGGGATCTTAAGGCACACAGGAAGACATTCTCTGCCATATTAAGTGTTACACAGCTCAGATCTTGGCTAAAAATACAAGATGTAGCATGGAGACGGACGTGTGGAGAGGGTGGGCAGTGGGGGTGTCTTATTTGCTGCACTTGGCTCATCCTTGATGCTAGAATGTGGCACTAGGTCACTCCAGGACGACATGGAGAGGCAAGGCTGGTGCATCTCCTTGGGTTTCACAGATGTCAGTTTGCTTTTTGGGCAATCAATTCTGGCTTGCACTTCTGTCTGACCCAGAATGAAGCATATGATACGTGCCCGACCACATTCATGCTCAGTGTGTTTATCAGCACTGAGAATTTTTTTTTTACGGCCTACATGCCTAAACTCTGTGAGGGCACTACAGTACATGTATGTGCAAGATTATATGCGTGCGCGTGTTATAGCTCAAGATTACTTTACAAATTGAAAGATGAGAGGGAGTTATTAATAAAAATCATGATCTTACATGTTCTCTTCCCTTCAGGCCTCTTTATTTAGTGGCCTGTGGAGTTAATGCCTATTTAGTCGTCAACTGGTGGTTAATGATGAGGCAAAGCAGAGCATTTGAGAGAAAGATGATGTGATGAAAAGGGGGTCGTAAGTAAAAGGAGAGTGCTTGGATGTCCCTGCATATCCGGTGTTGACTGTGCAAAGCATCAGCCCATTTAGCATAATGCTTCATTAAATGGTGATGGTGTTTGATGTGACATCAGAACACTTGGAGTCAAAATGAAACCCTGTTCGCAACCTAGTTTATGTCTCTGATGTCACCCATTTCTGATGATATGCAATGAGGAAAAAATGTAGGACGAGAATTTTACCTATCATAAACTGATTGGATATTTACACATACACTGTGGATATTTACTATTGGAGCAAATGGGAACACAAAAATATATTTGTTAGCTTCCATTCACCACTATATAATTTACCCAACTATTACATCTTTCACTTCTAGATGCAAAAAGGGTCAGTTATATACAATGCTAAACATTCTCAACGTTTTACATGTCTGTTACATGAAAATGGCTTTGGATAATAAATATATGCTAAACAATAAGCAAACCATGCGAAAATGGAGAGATCACCGTGATAACATTTAAGATCTCGTTTTTGACCGCCTGGGTAATGGATACTAAACTAATCCTTAATTCATATTTTTCATTATGGCACCATCTAGTGGTAAGACGAATGTGATAGGCCTACAAATTAAAGACTGGAATAGAGCTCTTATTCAGCATGTCATTATACTCTCGAGTATTTCACATTGTAGCGTTCTTGTCATGTATGACTTGGTTTTGGCAAAGCCTGATTAATTCATTTATTAATTAACCTCCAGAATGCAGACCAGTATTTTGACAATTCCCATATGGACATTGAGGCTAATTCTGTTTTTGACCATTCTTTTGAAATTGAAGTTAGCCAACAGTCTTTCATTTATATTCAGAGGATGCTGTCAATACAGCTCAACAAATCATAAGCTAAGAGCACTGTCTGCAAATCACAGAATTTATCAGCACATTTTGCTATAAAGACGATGCTAAATCAGGGTGTGTTTTTTCTTAAAGGGGTCATATGATGCGATTTCAAGTTTTCCTTTCTCTTTGGAGTGTTACAAGCTCTTGGTGCATAAAGAAGATCTGTAAAGTTGCAAAGACTAAAGTCTCAAATCCAAAGAGATATTCTTTATAAAAGTTAAGAGTCAGCCACGCCTACCTAAAATGCCTGGTTCTAACACTCCCCCACATATCTACGTCACTATGTGGAAATATTAGCATAATGCCACCCAAATGTGCACGCAAAGAAAGAAGTGTTTTCAGGAACATCAGTAGTGTTGATGCAGCCATGTCAGGGAGACGCTGTGTAAACAGTGACAGTCTGATTTATGTAGGCTGCTACATGTTGCATGTCTATTATTATTATTATTATTATTCAATATAAAACATTACAGACATTTTAGCTGTGACAAATATTTACGCGATATCATGTTAAAATTAAGTAAAGTATAAATATATAAAATATATAGGAAATTGTGTGTGTGTACTTTTCTACCTACATTTTTATATTAAAGGAGACATATTATGCCCCTTTTTACAATACGTTGTCGCTTGTGAAATCAAAATGACGGCGCCGTGGGTGTAAACTTATAGATTATGGGGCGGTAGTATTATAATGAGATCCCTTTGCCACATCACTAGGGGAGTTTTTTTCAGACGCTTGCAGAAAAAGGCTTACCAAAACAAAGTTACTGGGTTAATCTTTACATTACAGCTCATACCTGCTAAAAAAAAAACATCTGTTTTGGTTCTGATTATCATGTTTATCATGTTCATTACCATATTAGTTTAAACTTCTGATATATGGTTTTCTGAGAGCACACATCCGAAGCACACGGACAGAAAGCGGCTGTCACAGCATGCGAGTACTAAACTAAGTTCTCATTCACACACGAGTTTACGTTAAAAACACACATGAGTAACAAAAACAGTCGATTATGTCTGTGAAGATAAACAGCGGGGAAATAAATCGCATGTGTATATTAGATCTGTGTGGCAGCAGCAATATACAGTAAATAAATCAATAAATCCACTGCTCTCTTGTCTCCTCTGAGGCTGGGACTCTAAGTAGTGTTCTTTGCTCGTCTGTGCAGCCAAAGGCAGAACAGTTAGCATGTTTTGCTCAAACCTTCGCCATGGCATTAGAGCTGGTACACCGTTGTCGCTTGTGAAATCAAAATGACGGCGCCGTGGGTGTAAACTTATAGATTATGGGGCGGTAGTATTATAATGAGATCCCTTTGCCACATCACTAGGGGAGTTTTTTTCAGACGCTTGCAGAAAAAGGCTTACCAAAACAAAGTTACTGGGTTAATCTTTTTCACGTTTCCTTGGTTGGTAGATGCACTGGGGACCTGATTATAGCACTTAAAACCTGGAAAAGTCAGATTTTCATGATATGTCACCTTTAATGTAATGCATTTATGCTGAAAAATTTTCAGTGCACTCAATTCTACATCCGACTTGTTCTAATGGATTAAAGTACAAAGTTTACTACCTTATGCAACCACAAGGTTTCAAAGCATTTTAACAGTGTTTGAAATTCGAAGCTAAACTGTGGAATAATCACAGGTGTAATTTGTGTACCTGAAAAATAACTGACGATGGCGGTGTTACAAAGGCTACTGCTGCTCTGTGCTGGGAGTTCAGTTCACTTGCAGAAGATTTATTTTCACCAAATGTGAACATTATTGCTGAGCTCGAGAAACTAAAAAACATGGATGAAAGGATACAAGAATTAGAAGAAACACTAGATTAGCTTGCTACCCATTTGACTTATATTCGTTCCATTTTTTGTCTTTTCTATTATAAAATCAAGAAAGGAGAACAATAACTGTACCCATGAAGCGGTTTTGACTGTTTGGCTGTTACGTTTGTTAATTAAATGTTTTAAATTAAATATTTGATTTTATTATACATTTCACACCAGTCTGTTCGCTTATTCACAGCCAAAAAGGTTGCCTTTTCAGCTGGACTTCTGGAATCTGGAACAGGACACACTGGGCCCACTAACACTCCAAAAACTCTGGTCTACAAAAAAGTCTTTAGTAATATTGGAGGTGCCTATGACTTAAATACTGGTCAAGTTCTGTAATGAGAATATCATGACAAATGCAGAATCCTGTTCACATATGATATTCTCTGTGGCTACTTTGTACATGTACATTGCTGGTGTTTTCACAGCACCAATCAAAGGAGCCTATTACTTCAGATTGTACGGTCATTCTCATGGTGGAACAACAATGGCAGTCAGTCTCTTGAAGAACGGTGCAACCCAGTGCTCTCTGCATGCTTGGAAGCCTGTCTCTAATGGTAATGCCAGCAATGCTGTTGTTCTCACACTGGAGATCGTGATCAAATTTCTACACGACACGACGCGAACACCTGGGTTTATGATGATCCAGTTACACCAGTTTCGTTGGTTTTCAGATTTTCCCCTTGTGAACATCTGACTCTAGTATCTCATATCCAGTGCAGGATGCAATGTGAAAATTATTGTAATGGAACTTAATTGTTCCTGTTTAAGTAAACTGCATCTTAGTAAATAAGAGGCATAAAGAAAAGGAGATCATTGCTTTTTAGTTACAGTATTTAAAGGGATAGTTCACCCAAAAATGAAAATGTAATGTTTATCTGCTTACCCCCAGGGCATCCAAGATGTAGGTGACTTTGTTTCTTCAGTAGAACACAAACAAAGATTTATAAGATTGTCAGTCTTATAATGGAGGTGAATGGGAATTATGGCTTTGAGAGTAAAAAAAAAAAACATACACAAACAAAACCAAATTAAACCCTGAACAGTCCTGAGCGCGTCCTCGACAGCCGGCGCGTGAGGCGTCTTCTTGCTTTACGGTGGATCGCAGACTTAGAAGTGCATTACCGCCACCTATCTCTCAAATGGACCATTGACACTCTATCTACAATCTCAATTAGGAATGTCAATGGTCCATTTGAGAGATAGGTGACACGCTCAGGACAGTTCAGACATTGCAGTGCATCATAGGTAAAAAAAAACGATATAAATACGGTTCAGTTTCTTGCACAGACCGATCGTTTCGTGTCTTTACACA